TAGGGTTTAGGGTTTAGGGGGGCAGTCCTGCAGGCGGAAAACCTTCGAAACACTTTCCGTCTTTTGAGCCATGGGGCTTCTCACATCACAATCTGCAGCTAGTGTTTCTAGGATTGTTATTCCAGGCATTTTGAAAGTGCATGTCCTGGTCAAGAAGTAGGTAGGGCCTAGCGACCAGGCCCGTCCTAAAGATGCAAACACGACTGTGAAGAGAAACACTCGCAACCAGAGGTAGCAACCGATGCAAGCCCGACATATTACCATAAACCCGTCACCCGAGAAACCCTACACTCTAAGGCCCAAAAATCCGTAAACCCTAGAAACCCCCAAAACCCTAAACTCCAAACCCTAAACCCCAAATCCGCAACCCCGAAAAAACCCATAAGCCCTATAAGCAGCCCCAGAAACCTAGAAGGCCTGAGCCCTGAAACCCTCTGTAAGGAACTCAGAAATGAGAGCAGAAGGAAACTTCCCAGCTTTCAGAGGTCTCAACAGGTGACATGAAGGTAGTTAAAGGATCATGGGACTTAGTACCTAAGGTTTTTATTGGGATAACTATACTTATAACTACTTATAACCCCAATTAAGGTACTTATATCCATACTTACTAAGTCCCATGATCCTGCAAGTAGTTATGATTAAGAACCCCTTCTTTTGAGGACTCTTGTTGTGGGCTTACCCCACCTGCCTCAATCCCACCCTCAACGCTACACCCCTAAACCCTCCAACCCCGAAACATCCCGAAACCCAACACTTCCCTGAACCCTCAACGCCTACGACGGTTTAGGGTTTAGGGTTTAGGGTTTAGGGTTTAGGGTTTAGGGTTTAGGGTTTAAGCCCTCAAAACTACAACCCCCAACTCCCAACTCATGCGCCCAGGCACGTCTCGCTGGCCGTCTCCTCCGACTCTTCCTAGTGGCACAAAACCGTGGTTTCGGCTTAGGGTTATAAGTTTTATTTATGCGTATATAAGAATGCATATATATATATATGTATGGATAGATAGATAGATAGATAGGTAGATGGATAGATAGAGAGATAGACAGGTAGATAGATAGATAGATAGATAGATAGATAGATAGATAGATAGGTTTTAACCTTTTTTCTTGAACGCCTTTTCCGTCCTCCTTGCAAAGGCCTTCGGAACTTCCTATTGGAAGAAACGCCTTGATCTCCGCTCGCCATCATTCGCCACCCTTGTCGATTGTCGACCGCGTGACAGGGGCTAAGGGATATTAGGGTTTCGCATAGAAGCCTTGTGGTGAAATCCCTAAACCCTAAACCCTAAACCCCTAAACCCTAAACCCTCAACCCTGTGGTGAAATCCCGGTGGTCCCGAGAAAAAGATGCTTCCAAAAAGGGTGTCTCTTGCCAGGTCGGCCATGTTGGCTTTAGGGTTCAGGGCTTAGGGTTTAGGGTTTAGGGTTTAGGGTTTAGGGTTTGTTGAGGTTCTCTGAAAGGGTGGCCAAGAAAACTGAACATTCAAAGTGCACGCCAAGAACTTTTCAAAAGGAGTATGCATCGCACTATCGACTGTATTGGTCTTTGCACGTTGCGAGCTCAGGCTTTAGATTGTCTGTCTTCGGTTTTGGGTTTTGTATTATTCTGACTTATCCCTAAACCCCAAACTCTAAAATGGGTGTTAGATTTTGGCTTTGGGGAGTTCGGTGCCGGGGCTCGGAGTAAAGGTTTGAGGGTGACGTCAGTCCCAATGGGCCCATTAATGGGCCCATGGATGTATAGTATACATTTCGGCCTTGAAGGGGTTTTGGGCTTCCTATAGTATATGCTTTGAGCTTGAGGTACATATACACTATATATATATATATATATATATAGGTACTTCAAGCTCAAAGCATGTACCGTACAGGTGCATAGTTGCTAATGAGACCCTTAAGCACAATACCCTGGCCCAAAAAAGTTGAAACTTTTCTTTTTGTAGGGGTTTAATATACCAAA